CCTTCTCCACCACCTCCTCCTCCTCCTCGTGCTCCTTCTCCTCCTCCTCGTCATCATGATCATCATCATCATCATCAGCATCATCATCATCGTCATCATCATCTCCTCCTCCGCATCATCATCAGCATCAGCATCAGCATAATCATCATCAGCATCATCATCAGCATCAGCATCATCATCGTAATCATCCCCATCATTACCATCGTCATCGTCATCATCATCAGCATCATCATCACTATTACCACAACAATCATCAGAATCATCATCATTCCCATCGCCATCATCATCATCGACACGTTCGTCCTCATCATCATCATCATCATCATCATCAGCATCACCATCACCATCACCATCAACATCAACATCATCACCACCATAATCATCGTTATCATCATCAGAATCACCATAGAGACCACCATCGCCATCATCATCATCATCACCATCAACATCACCATCACCATCACCATCGGCACCACCACCACCATACCCGGCATCATCGTCACCATACCAACATAAGTCTGATCATCATCCCCCGACTCCACTTCCTTGTCCTCCTCTTCTTCCTCCTCCTCCTCATCCTCCTCATCCTCCTCATCCTCCCCCGCATCCTCCCCCGCCTCCTGACGCCTCACCGCAACACGAGGCGATCCCTGATCCGCCGCCGCAGCACAAGCCGCGCGACCGCGCAACTAGCTATGGCAGCGGTAACCTTCGGTTGCCGCCGAGGGTATGTTTCCAGAGGGGAGAAGGAGAAGAGGAGGACCACCGTACTCGAATCAAAAAAGGGGGAGAGGGTGAGCAGCGACTATCTCATCAGCCCGTTTTGCATCTACCACGGGCACTGCGTTAACCTCCAGAGCGTCACCCGGGGCTTCAACCACCTGCACTTCCGCGCACGTATGGGCCAAACTCTGTTCTTCTCTTATGCCAGTAACGGTTCTGGTGCTCCAGCGACTGTGCTCCGAGCATCTGTTCGCACATGAATGCCCTGAATAACTTTCGCGCACATCCATCAGCTTCTGTCTTTTTCATCTCCTTTCTTGCACCATACTGTTGGGCCCACCTACCTGAACTCGGGGGACCCTGGGGCGCGTCGACTCCATAACATCCGAGCATCGGTTGGCCTAGCGAGAGGCTCGGGCATTCAGCCGCTCCTCCTTGACTCTCTGACCCCCTTCTTGTTTCACCGCTCGGTCCGACCTCGTGCGCGCCTGTTTCAGCGCAGCTAGCCACTACGTGGCCTTTCTTACGACATGCGCGACGCTCTCTATCCGTCATGGGTACGACCCCCCTGTTCCCTCCCCCTGGGCCTTTTCCTCCGCCTCCTCTTCCTTGGCCCTGAGTTTTTCCTCGTCATCCAGCGTCTTCCTTTATAACCTTCATTTCCTTCGCTATACTTGCTAGAACCCTTCGCTATACTTGCTGGAACCCTTTCTGCGCTCAACGGCGACGTGGCCAGAGTTGCCAGGTTCGTAGCACGTGGCCCTTTTCCCCATGCCCCTCTGCCTTGGTCAGATGGCTGCCATTCCTCCTCCATCGTCTTGAGATTCCCTGTGGCCATGCCGGAATGCACCTCCCCCCCCCTTCGCACACCGGCCCGCTGCCCCGAAGCACCGCGCTCGATATAGCTGCAAAACCGCCCCTTTTCATCGCGATCCAGAGCTATTCCGTCACAAACCCCGACCATTCCTCTCACAGCAACTAGAATCTCCTTAACGTCTGCCGCCTGGATCGGAAGGCTAACTATGGTTCCCTTGCCATTGCCCCCGACGTTCATCCTCCAGCCAGAATTCTCAACGGTCGTTCCATTTGTCGCGCTGAAGCGTTTCCCAGCTTTGGACGCCTCAATTGGCTCAACTGGGAAATGCGCCCCAATGCTCGGGGGGCCCCCTGCGCCATGCGCTCCGGAGTCTAGGGTCACAGCGACAATATCATCAACCCATTTTGCATCTACCACGGGCACTGCAGGAGCGTTACCTGGCGCTTTAACTACCTGTACTTCCGCACACTTCTGGGACAAACTCTTCTCTCTAATGCCGTCGACGGTTCTGGCGCTCCAGTCACTGCGCTCCGAGCATCTGCTCGTGCACGAATGCCCTGAGCAACTTTCGCGCGCATCCATCAGCTTCTGTCTGTTCATCTCCTTCCCTGCGCCACACTGTTGGGTCCACTTACCTTAACTCGGGGGACCCTGGAGCGCGTCGACTCCAAAACATCCGAGCATCGGTTGGCCTAGCGAAATGCTTGGGCCTTCAGCCGCTCCTCCTTGACTCTCCGACCCCGTTTTCGTTTCACCGCTCGGTTCGACCTCATGTGCGCCCGTGTCAGCGCAGCTAGCCGCCATGTGGCCTTTCTTACAATATGTGTAACACCCTCTATCCGTCATGAATACGACCTCCCCCCTGCTCCATGCCCCTTGGCCTGTTCCTCCGCCTCCATTTCCTTTGCCTTGATTTTTTCATTTGGCGAATTGTCCATGCTTTGTCTGGTTTCCTCCTCTTTCTAACCTCCATTTCCTTCGCAATACTTGCCAGAAACATTTCTGCACTAAACGGCGACGTGTCCGAAGTTGCCAGGATTGTAGCATGTTGGCCCTTTTCCTCATTTCGTTTCTGCCTTTGTTAACGGCATCCACGTCTCATTCGTCGTCTTGAAATTCCATTTGGTTCCAGCCTGAATCAGGCCACCAGTAACCTTCCTCGTCAATATATCCTTCTGCCTTGCCTCCTGCGTTGGTGTCCAGTGAGATGCCTTTGTGGCGCCAACGATGCCCGTCGCATCGTTATGTCCCGCGTCGTCATCTAACCCTTTCTTCCTGGCCCAGTCCTCGCATTTGACGTAGAGCTTCTGACAGGTCTCTTGCGTTAATGAGTCTGGGGTTTTGAACCAATCCTGATGCCAGCCCTCAAACCAGACTCCCGCGTGGGACATTATGGTCCGTAACGCAACAATCCGAAACGGGAGGTTCAGTGAATTAGCGGGGCCGTACTTCTCTAAGGTTTCGACAAAATGCAATCAATTGCCGTTCTGGGTTGCAGCGTCGCCGATTTTCGGGGTTGCAATGGGCCTGTCTGGGATCAGGGCCAAGCTCATCTTGGCCGATTGGATAAGTCCCGCTACAGCAGAACACCACGTGCATGTGTTTTTGTTCGGTACGAATGCAATCCATCACTATCGCGTAACCCTTTGCATTTGCTTTTGGGTCCCCTCATCGAACTTGTGCATAACTCCTTCGCCGGATTCAAAGTATCATTTTGTTACCGTTGTCGTCTGTGTTTGACTGAATCGCTTTGGTGTACCTCGCTGCAGTTCACCTTCCTTTAACACTTCTGGCCATGTCATCGTCAGCTTCGTCTTGTAACGTTTCACTCATTGTTTCAAGTTAGTCACTGAGGCTCTTGAGAACCAATTTCTCGGTCGTTGGGGCTAAGTTGCGCCCGCGCGTTTAAAAACAACTTCTCATTCCACTCTCGGAATGTATCTCTGTCTCCCCTGAACGTCGTACTCACTAAGCGGCTTGTGTCCACCTCCGCCAGAACTGTTCTTACTCTCTGCTATAACCCCCGCCATCTTGGTCACTTGCTCCATCGCATTCTTTTGGACATCTGTTTGATCCACTCGGCTTTCAATTGTTGTACGAACTGTTTTGTGCCAACCGCGGCATACACGCTTCGATCAACAATGCTCAGCTTTCTTCATTGGTAACGGTTATTACCCCAGCTGCTCTCACCGTTCAATGAGCTCCCTCATGCCCTGACGGGTGGCTCCCAACTCCAATTCCACATACGCAATTGTAGTCCACAACGTGATAGGCAGCGTCGCTTAACTCAGTGAAGCGCGCCGGGTTTAGGTTGAAACAATGATCTCTGTCCTGGGATGTGTTTAACTCTGGTACGAGATTGCCCGCTGCAGCTGGAGCAGCAGCTGCGGCTGCTGCGACTGCCATCAACCTCGCCCCGCTACCATGCAAATCCTGGAGAAGAAACGTAATTGATGTTTCTGTAATCCCGTGAGCAGGAAGGCGTGCGCTCCACAGGTTGAATACTTGAGCCAAACGGCGTCGTTAACGACGGCCACTCGACTCTCACATTCAGCCATGCCTCTCACCCAGTCGAAACGGCATGTTCTAACACATCCTCATCTTCGTCCCAATCCTCATCATCATCCTCTTCATCTTCAACCTTATCCTTATCAGCAGCAGCAGCAGCATCATCATCCTCACCATCAGCATCATCATTATCACCCTCGTCTTCGTACTCCTCGTAAACCACATAGTCGTCATCATCAGCATCATCATCAGCAGCAGCATCCGAATACTCATCATCATCATCATCATCATCATCATCATCATCATCAGCAGCAGCAGCAGCATCATCATAATCATCAGCAGCAGCATCATCCCCATCACCATAATAATCACCATCGTCATCAGCAGCAGAATTATCAGTCCTCATCATCAGCATCATCGTCATCAGCAGTATCATCAATAATCAGCATCATCATCATCATCCTAATCAGCATGATCATCCGCAGCAGCAGCAGCAACAGCATCATAGTCATCATCGTCATAATCATCATCATCATCAGCACAGTCGTCATAATCATCGCCCTCGTCGTCGTTGCCACCACCATGATCATCATAATCAACATCATCAGCATCATCATCATCGTTATCATCATCATCATCAGCATCATCCGCAGCATCACCCACATCAGCATCGTCATCATCATCGCCAGCATCATCATCATCATCAGCATCATCACCATCATCATCATCATGATCATCATAAGCATCATCATCGTCATCGTCATCATCGTCATCGTCATCGTCATCGTCATCGTCGTCATCGTCGTCATCGTCATCATGATCATCAGCCTCATCGCCATCAGCATCAGTATCGTCATCAGCATCAGCATCAGTATCATGATCGGTAGCACCATCAGCATCATCATCATCATCAGCATCATCACCATCACCATCATCACCATCATCATCACCATCATCATCATCATCATCATCATCATCAACAACAACAACAACAACAACAACAACAACAACAACAACAACAACAACAACAACAACAACAACAACAACAACAACAACAACATCATCATCAACAACAACAACAACATCAACAGCGGCGGCGGCGGGCCCCCGCCTGGCGTGGCAGCAGTTCTCTCCCGTGTTCGGGGCGGACGGCAGCCCGAGCTCCTGGCTCGAGGGGAAGGGGGGGAGGATGCGAGGACAATCGCATCGGGAGAAAGAGGCGGAGGGCAGGCGGGCACGGAGAGGGGGAAGAGGGCGGAGGCAGCAGCAGCAGGTGGAAGAAGAGGGCGACGAGGGCGACGAAGGCGGAGGAGCGGGTCCTCCCAGGCCGCCAGCGCCCCGCCGCGCAGGGAGTCCTTCGGCGCATCGGCCGGGTCCGTCGGCCCCAGCACCTCCGCGGGCAGGGGGAGGACGAGGTGGGAGAAGGGAGGGCGAAGAGAGGAACCGCACAGATCATGGTGGGGAGAGGGGGGGAGGAGGGGGAGGAGGAGGATGAGGGGAGGAGGAGGAGGAGGAGGAGGAGGAGGAGGAGGAGGAGGAGGAGGAAGGATGAGGAGGAGGAGGAGGAGGAGGAGGGAGGAGGAGGAGGAGGAGGAGAAGGAGGAGGGAGGGAGGAGGGGAGAGGAGGCTCCCCCTTCAGGGTCGGCGGCACCAGCCGCAAGGCCTGCACTATCAAAACTTGTCGGAGACAGATCTGGAGCATGCCGCTTGCAGGTGCCAGTGCAGTCGGCAAGTAGGAATGTGATGTTTTCCGAACTGGACCGCAGCATCTGCTGCTCAGAATTCTGCTGCGTGTGAGGTTCGAAGCAGTGCCTTACCCACAGGGCCCGCTAATACAGCTATGGCTTCACCCGTGGCAGGGTCGCGGACTACAACGGCCCATCCCGCTCGGTGATAACATTTAGGGCCAAGTTCAAAACACGATCTGTATAGGTACAACTTGCTCTGAAAGGCTTGGACTAGAGTAGCGTTCGGGTCCAACGCCCACAGGGTCGCTCCCTCGAGACCAAGCCCTGCTGGGGCATTGACGTCAAACATGGCCGTTTGACGTCCAGACCCGCTTGTAAGTGAGCCCAGTCATCATTATTCAGGGTGTCAATGTCTTTAAAAGCTGCGATGCTCCGCACAATCGGCCAAGGAAAGGATGCATTCGAACAGGCTATGATACATGCTGTCATGCGCATGCCCACATTGGCATGTGCAGTCAACCTCCAATCCCGCCTCTCGAGGAACCAAGCTTGGTTCACATACTCCAGGGGCGGGAGACGAGGAGGATAGAACGCTCCAGGGGGGGGGGCGGGCACGAGAGGGGGAGTTGGAGTTGAGGACGCCGAGGGCAGCAGAAACGCAAACCTGATCCTCCACCCAACCAGGTCGCTCGCTCGCTTGCTCCACCAACCTGTCCCGCCATGACTTCTGCAGCTCGGAGGAAAGGGAGGCGGGCGAGACCGAGGTAGGGAGGGAAATCCCACCAGCCCTTTGAGCCAGGGTGGTCTAACGATGTCTTCCTCTCGTCTTCAAAAGCCATCTTCCCTTCGGGGAGGGGTAACATCCCCCTCCCCTCGCTGAGGTTGTGTTGCGGGGTTCGCGACGTATTAAGAGGCGCTCTTTCGCCCACGAGGGCTCCAAGAGGACATCCGATGCTCCAAGATGGCCTCCAAAATGGCTCAAGACATCCGACGATGGTTCAAGATAGGTTCCGACCAACCTCCAAGAGACCTGACGAGGGCCACAAGACGGTTCCAAGTGCTCTCGGAGCCCGCCCAAGAAGCCAAAATCCTTCAAAACCTAAAGAAACCGATGAAATGTTACGTCTCGCCTGTTTCGTTTCAAATGCGCTTTTGAGGCCTCAAGATAGCCCCAACATGGCCCAAGAGATGCCCAAGATGGGCCCAAGAGGCCCCCCAGACGGCCCCAAGAGCGCCCAAGAGCGGCCCAATAGCGCCCCAAGAGGGCCCCAAGAGGCGACTTGGATGCCCCCAAGAGGGGGTGGGGGGAAAGGCGGGGAGGGGAACTGTTACAACCACCTCTCTTTTCATCGACGCCCTCCACGATAGCCCCAAGAGGACCTCCAGGGCTTCCAACAGGCCCCCACGAGAGCTCCAAGAGGGCCCCAAGACCCCCCAAAAGAGCCCCAAGAGGACTCTAAGATCTGTCAAAAGAGTCCCAAGAGGGCTCGAAGAGGGGATGTTGATGGCTATGTTCTCATCCTCGTTGTCCTCCCCCTCCTGCTCCTACTCGTCCTCCTCCCCCGCCTCCTCCTCCCCTCGCCCCCCCACGGGCCCCAGGGATGGTCCGAAGAGGCCCTCCAAGGCCACACACTTGCTCCCACGGATCTCTCTGTTCACCCTGGCTGCCCGCTTTGTTTCACTGCATCTGCCTCGTCGTCCCATTCCCCATCAACTCTCATGGGCAGTGTTTCCGAATGGGCTGGTGGGGATACACGAAGCGTGAAGAATGGAGCCATCCCTGTCCAAAAACTCGAACGCACTGACTGGCAACAGTTTCAAGGATTCGCGTGGTTAATGTCCCAGAAAGTGTGTTTTGGCACGATGTCGGAATGTGAGGGCGCAGCAATCAAGTTAATTCGCGGTGTGAAGTCCGAGGAACAGTGTTCTAGCACGATGCAGGATCGTCGAGACGCAGCAGGAGCGGTAATTCGCAGCGTTGAACTCCCAAAAACGGTTGTCTGGCACAATCGCGGAGTTTCAAACGGTTGTCTTCCAACTGCGCAGTTCCCTCAGCGAAAATCGACACACGTAGGAGCCTAGGAAGAGGGAGCTTGGAGGAAGGGGATACTGCAAGATCGTTGATGGGTCTGGGGCTTACACTGGTCATCATCCTCGTCCTCCTTCTCCTCGTCCTCTTCCTCATCCCTCAAGCACGTGCGGCTCGAGTCCCATCCGTAGCATTTGGCATGCGATGGGCCCAAGGTCGCGTCCAGTGCCTTCACGTGGCGCCTAGGGGGCTCCGACTCCTGCCGCGGCCTTGTCGTAGCAGCAGCTGCCGGATGGCGACACTGAACAGTTTCGTGTGTCCTTAAATGTGCTACGTTTGGTATGGAGTTGTTTCGACTGCGCTCGAGGGATACCCATAGGGTCTGAAGCGCACGCCTGCAGTTCCGCGCCTCAAATAGGACAATTTCAATGTTTCAATGTTCATCCGCGTGGTGGTTCTAGTGGTTTCGGGTCGAAGCCACCCGTGGTCAGTAATTTTGCTTGCCTTCATCCTGCTGCTCGAGGTAGCTGGTATTTGTTTATCGTTCAACTCGTTGCTCACTGGCGGAGGTACACCTATTTTGTTTCACGTTCTGGAGGTTATCCCACGTGCGGCCAAACACCGAGGACCATGAGGTACATCCCATACGGTGAAAGGTTTGGTGTTCCGACGTCTTTTGTCAATGCTGTTTCCAAGTAGTAGGCCGTGGCGTTTAACATGGTCTGTTCTTGGTTGTGGTTCCAAAGTGTACGTTGTGCTGCTTACAATACTTCCTGGTTGGGCCGCGATCTTTCACATACGCTCTGTTCTTGGAGGTTGCGTTTGTCGGCTCTTTGTGCGCGGAGCTCGTCGTCCAGTGCGTGCGAGTGCGCATCCACGTCGCCCCAATGCTCTGGAGACTTACCCCACGTGCGAAACATCGCCGAGGAACATGAAGTACGTCGAATAAGGTGAAGGACTTTCCTAAGTCGTACGTCGATGTTATTTCCAAGTGGTGGGCCGTGGCGGTTCACTTTGTGTGTTGCTTGGTGGTGGCTTCCAGGTGTGCGTTTTGTTGGCTGTAAATAGTTCCTGGCTGGGCAATGATATGTCACTTTCGTTCAGATATTGGTTATTGGAGGTTGCCTTGCCGTTTGTGGTATTTCGTGGGGTGCGTCTTCCAGTGCCTGCGCGTGCTCATCCATGTCGTCCCGCTGCACCTCGAACTCAAAGCACGTATGTTGTATTACCATATGACATTGTCATGGAGTCCACTCCATTCCACTCCACTCCACTCCACCTCCGCTTGAATCCACTCCACTCCAATGCCAATCCACTCCACTCCTCCCCTCTCCACCTCCACCTCCACCTCCACCTCCTCCTCCTCCTCCTCCTCCTCCCTCCTCCTCCTCCTCCTCCTCCTCCTCCCCTCCTCCTCCTCCTCCTCCTCCTCCTCCTCTTTTCTCCTCCTCCTCCTCCCATCCTCCCTCCTCCTCCTCCTCCGCTCCTCATCCTCCTCCTCCACCCCCTCCTCCTCCTCCTCTCACCTCCTCCGCCACCTCCTCCTCCACCCCCTCCTCCTCCTCCTCCTCCTCCATCCCTCCCTCGTTTCCCCATCCCCCACCCCCCGCTGCCCGCGACGGCGAGGCCGCAGGGACAAGGCCCAGGCGGCCAGGACTGCGCCAGTGCCAGGGCCGAAGCTTCGGGTGCTCGAGACCCCCGAGCTTCGGGCACGGACTGGTGCCCAACAGGACAAGCTCCGATCCGAGGTGAGACCCTCGCCGCCACCAGCGGGCCATGCGGCCCGCGGCACGCGGTACCCCGCACGAGCCCCGCGGAAAGCTGGCACGCAACGAGCACGGAGGGGAAGAAGCGGCGCCCGACGGGCGCCGATGCGCGGCGGCGGGGCGGCCCGCGGTTCGGGCGCCTTGCCGCGAAAGTCGGCCCACGGGAGGTCCTTCGGGTCCCACTCCACGACGTAGTAGTAGATGGAGGCCCCCTCCTGAGGGCGTGGCACGGTGGGGGCATTGGATAAGGAACAAGTGGGTAAGGAATGCAGAGACTGGAAGGCGGAGGAGCTCCGACCGTGGATGGGCAATGTGTACCATCACCGCCCTCATCATCACCAAACAGGGAGTCCTCTAGGGTCTGAAGCATCCTGGGCACGTTCCTTAACCAACGCCCCCACCGTAATGATCAATACACGCTAGACGGAGGAGAAGGTGAAGAGGGGGGTGGACGAGGAGGAGGCGGCGCCAGAGGCCGAGAGCAAAGAGGAGGCGGAAGCGGAGGAGGCGGAGTCAAGACCTCCACCGCGAAGGGCTCCAAGGACGAGCTCTGAGCTCGTCAATGTGGGGGCGGCGGGCAATCCAGGCTTCGGTTTTCAGCTTCTGGGAGCCCTAGCCAAGCCCCGGGCCCCGGGACCGTCAAAGAACGGCTCGGGATGATAAACTGGCCCCGGGGCAAGGATCCAGACCTTCGGGAGACCACGCTGCGAAAAACAAAAATAACAACAAGACAAGCAAACAAAAAACGGCATCAGAGTTCTGCGGGGTAGGAGGCAGTCGGGGGGCAGAAAGAGGAGGTCGTGAGGGCAGTGGTAGATGGAGGCCCCTTCCTGAGGAGAGGGGGGGGGAAAACAGTGGGAGTAGAAGGAAGTCGTGAGGAGGAGGAGGAGGAGGACTGGCGAGAAGGAGAGGGGGGAGGGGAGGAAGGGGAGATAGGGGAGGATGCCTGCCTTTCGGCCCTTCAAGGCGCGTTGGTCGCCATGAGTCGGCTCTGCTTAGGCTCGCGTGGCATTGACATGCTTTGCCACGCCCGTGAGGTGAAGTGAAGAAGAAGGAGGACGAGGAAGAGGAGGGGGAGGAGGAAGAGGAAGGGGAAGGGGAAGGGGAAGGGGATGGGGAGGGAGGAGGAGGAGGAGGAGGAGGAGGAGGAGGAGGAGGAGGAGGGGGGAGGGGGAGGGGAAGGGGAGGGAGGAGGATGAGGAGGAGAAGGAAGAGGACGAGGATGGGGAGGAGGGGGCGGAGGGGGAGGGGGAAGGAGGAGGAGGAGGAGGAGGAGAAGGAGGAGGAGAAGGAGGAGGAGGGTTAGGAAGAGGGGGAGGGAGGAGGAGGAGGAGGAGGAGGAGGAGGAGGAGGACGACGACGACGACGAGGAGAAGGATGAGGAGGAGGAGGAGGAGGAAGAGAGGAGGACAAGCTAGGTGCGCTAGCGTCACATCTGACGTCCTACCCCTCCCTCCAATCCCTTATCATCGCTTAGATGTCCCATATATATTCGCACAATCGGATGTCGAGCAGGGCAATGGTCCCGACAGGGTACGCGATGGATGGAAAAGCATGGCGTAGAAGAGCACGGTAGAGCATCGCATGCCATAGCATGTCATAGCATGGCGTGGCGTTGCGTAGTGAAGTATTGCATCGCAAAGCATAGTAACACAAAGCATGGCATCGCACAGCGGTGCACAACACAGCATCGCATTGCATGCCGTGGCATGGCACCAAATGACTTGGAGGGTAAGTGGCCCATCTACGAGAAGACAGGGCCTGTCCGGAATGCCGGCTCCATGTCCTCCGCAACCGGGAAAAAACAAAAGAATGAAGTCCTGTATAAAAAAACAGCACGCAGAGAGGAAGGAGAGTAGAATTCATACTGTGCAATTGGGGGGGAGGAGGAGGAGGAGGAGGAGGAGGAGGAGGAGGAGGAGGAGGAGGAGGAGGAGGAGGAGGAGGAGGAGGACGACGACGACGACGACGACGACGACGACGAGAGGAGGAGGGAGGAGGGAGGAGGGCGGAGGGAGGAGGGGAAGGGAGGAGGGAGGAGGGAGGAGGGAGGAGGGAGGAGGGAGGAAGAGGGGAAGGAGGAGGGGGAGAAGAGGAGGAAAAGGAGGAGGAGGAAGAGAAATGGGAGGAACGATAGGGATGATGAGGAGAAGGGAGCGGCAAGGAAGAATGGAGGCGCGCTGCAGGAAGGATGCAGCCCTGGGCCGTAGGGCGCTCCTTCACGAAGCCGGAGCGCATCGTCATGAAAAAACCGTTGAAGACGTAGAAGGGCCTAAGAGAGGCCGCGCGCGCGCTGGCCCCTGTCCTCTTCCGCGGGAGTCGAGCGCGAGGGGAGGGGGGACGAGTCGGCGGCGAACGAGGGGGGGAAGTGAGAAGGAGAAGACCGCCTCAGAAGGCTCGGAAGTCGCCTGGCCTTCTGAGAAGTTTCTAAGCCTTCCCTGAAGACACAGAAAACTTCTCAGAAGGCGCGAGGGCTTCTGAGAAGTCCCGCCGCCTTCTGAAAAGGCCAGGGGTGCTCGCCGCCGAATGAGGGGAGCAGGGAGGGAGGGGGTGAGGGAGGATGAGGGTGAGAGAGGGATGAAGACCCCAGAGGGAGCGCGTTTCCCGAGCGCTCGCCTTGGGAACATTCGGCGGCGCGTTCCACGGCGGTCGCCGTGGGAACGTTCGGCGGCGCATCCCCCCCCGGAAAATTCGGCACCGTCGAACAGAACCAGGGAGACTCCCTTCCCCCCTCCCACCCCCCCTCCCCGAACCGCCCCCCTCCCACCAGCGGCGGCGGTGGCGGCCAGCAGCGCCAACGGCGGCGATGCGGCGACGATGACCAGCCAGGACGAAGACGACGACGACAAGGTCCGGCCATGAGTGTCGAAATATCGACGGGCCCGGATCTCAAATGTAAATATTATTCGCGTCGCGTCGCGTACCTTCTGCGGCTTCCGTCGTCGTCGTCGCCGTCGTCGTCGCCGTCGCCGTCGTCGTCCTCGTCAACGTCGTCGTCGTCGTCGTCGTCGTCGTCGTCGTCGTCGTGCTCGTCGTCGTCGTCGGTTTCGCCATCGTCTTCGTCGCCGCCGCCGTCGCCGTCGTTGTCGTCGTCGTCGTCTTCGTCGTGGCCGTCGTCTTCGTCGTGGCCGTCGCCGTCGTCGCCGTCGTCTTCGCCGTCGCCGTCGTCGTCGCTGTTGTCGCTGTTGTTGTCGGTGTCGTTGCCGTCTTCGTCGTCGTCCTCGACGTGGCCGCCGCGCGCCCTGCTCTGCCGAGGCAGGAGCGAGAGGCCGGCCTTCTGCTGGCCCTCCGCCGGCGGCGCCGCCCTCTCTGTCCCTCCGCCGGCCTCCTCCGCCCGGCCGCCGCCCTGCCGCCGAGGGAGGAGCAAGACTCCACGCGCCCGAGCTCACGAGCGGCGACCGTGTCCGCGTCCGCGCCCTCGCGGCCTGGATTCCGGGGCGCGGTCCCGCGCATGCGCGGTCGCACGGACGCGTTCCGCCCGAGCGTCCCGCCCTCCGGGAGGGGAAGTGGCGGTCGGGAGCCGTCCGGGCTGCAAAGGCCTGGCCAGCCTCTGCCGAGAGAGAGAGAGAGACGCGTCGGGGCAGCGGGTGCACAGCCATCGTGCTGCCGCGAGGCCAGGAAGGCTGAGTGAGGCACGCGGGGGGGGGGGGGGTTCTGGTCACCGCGGGCCCTGGCCACGAAGGGGTCTGAGGAGCGCCCTGAAGACCAGAGCCCCTTCCTGAGCCCAAGGCGATCCCTGTTTCGGCGTCTGGGCCACGAGCAGACACGTTCGAAGGCCCGCGCGGATCTCCTGGGTCTGCGCGGAATCCCCCTCAATGACGCGCTCCGCGCGCCGGGGGCGGCACCTGAGGCGCCGCCAGGGGGCCCACCGCGCGCAAATCCGAGAAGTCCGTGCGGACTTTCGAACATGTCCTGCCTCAAACCGTGCGTTCATCTTCAAGCCGAGGAAAAGACGCCGACTTGTCGAGCCATCGAGAGAAAGGTCCCCTTCCAGCAAGCCCTGCGCGTCGGCCACGCGCGGGAGCAGCCCTGGGCAAGAGGCTTACCGATCGTTGCACGCGATGCGACAGCAGGGGCCGGCGTGCTTGGACTTAGCCCCCGTGCGCCCCCCAAAAGTCGCCCACCAAAGGCCACCCTAGCGAAGGGCCACATCGGAGTGCGAAGTGTAGCCGAACATGGGTACGGCAGGCTCGTGTCGTGACGAGTTCCACGCGGTGGATCGTTCCACCTTGAACGATCGGCGGTCTATCGATCGCCAGATCGTCGCATGTTGGTCGATTATGTGCCACTGGCGCGTTCAACATTGAATGCCCACGGCGGGGTTACCGTCACGCAATCTGCCGCATAGATTCTGGCAATGGATCGTGGGCGAAAAACATGTCCATATGCAGAGCATCGCTGGCCGGACCCCTGGACCGCGACCCTGGGCCGCACCCCCCTGGGTTGCTTGTTCGCGGATGTGATCACAAATTTAAAACCCCCACCCCTACCCCTTTAGAAATAAGCATTGCCACTCTTGTCCGGGCGGCGGGATTGTCTGCACGAGCCGCAGGACTGCGCCTCATCAAAAGCCCGCATCTTCATCTGGACGAGCGACAGCACGTCCATTACGATGATGAGGCATTGCGCATCGCCGGTTTTGGCGTCAGAAAGATCACTGCGAAATTACGCCGAAGCCCTGCGGTGCCACTTGGGGTGTTTTCACCAATGCTCAGATTCGGCGGCGTTCCTTTCTATTCCTCTGCGCAGCTCGCACGGCCACTCCTGAGCCGCATCGGAAAAAAGACCACCCAGGTCACCAGTCGCCGAAGCAAAAGCACGACTACGCAAGTTAGCTGGAACCACCTGCCAAGAGACCCGAACGGCGTCCGTCGATTACCGCCACGTCTAGACAGGAGAAACTTCCCGCGAACGCCCCCTTCTAGACGGATGGGAATCAACCGTTTAGGTTTTGAGTTAAGTCGCGTTTCGCGCGTTATGCTCGTGATTTGTGCGAAGACAGCCACTTCGAGACAGCTTTGAATACAGTGTCTAGGCGCCTGTAAGTCCGGCGCCTGGGCGGCTGACTAGACGCGCTGGACTTCGTCGAGCGCCACCTGGCCGGCCCGCCTCGGGAGGAACCCACGAGGCAGCATTGGAGGGCAGCGCTCACCATAGGGCTGGTCCAAGACAGTCACGGTTCCCCGCACGGTGCCCAAACTGTGCCCCAAACAGCGCCCAAAAATTCTTTGTTTGTTCACACGCGCTGTGTTTCGCGATTGCCGGTATGGTTTGCCCGATACACTCGTGGCCCCTTCCCTTGTTTGCCCGATACCTCCCTGGGCCTCTATCCTTTGTTGCCCAATACCCTCCAAGTCCCCTTTCTAAGGGCCATTTCGGCTCCATCCTTGCGACGCGAAGCTATTTCGACACGGCGCCATCACGACACGCCACAGCGCTATACTGACACGGGATCCTGGCGATCCTAAGATCGGATGCCTGGACACGTGCCCGGAATGGACCCCCTGCACGCCCAAGACGAAGCCAGCCCGGTGCCCGGAATATGCCTGAATTGGCCGGTTGCGTGCCCAAACATGAATCAACAAAAACCCTGCTGTGCACAAAAGAAAAACTAAGATCCCCAAAAATATGTATCCAAATGTACACGGGCAAACGGCGATCGCATCCGAACCAACTTTGGGCACAACGCAACTCCAAGACCGTTTTTGACACCACTTTGGGCACTATGTTCGACACGGCCCACAACTTGTTGGGCACCGTGGCACTCTGGGCACAGGACCTCCTGAGATGGACCGGCGGCGGCCGCGTCGGGAAGGGCGCCCGTGAACCCCATCGTGCATGGGCACCAGGCCCCGAGCCCAACGACATGAATCCTCGAACCCACGACGCAGGCCCCTCCGGCCAACGACACACAAGTCCGCGGGGACAGCATCGCGGGTCCCCAGGCTCGCGGCGGAGGCCCTGGAGGCAACGATACAGTCCAGCGCTGCTGCGTTCCAATGTCACAGCTGCGCGCGGTGTCTGAAGCACGAGGGTGCGCGCCGCGCGCCGGACAGTCTCTTCGCGCACTCTCGGCGTACGCCGTGGCACGAGGGATGATGGGGCGGGGTACGCCCATTCGGGGTCTTGGGCCCGCCCTGCTACGACGGCGCGGCCAGCTGGAAAAGGAAGCGGCCTCCGAATACCCGGGCCTTGGTCCCCCACAGGGGACTACTCAACCTGGCCCTCGGCAGCCTTCTGGCCAGCCATCGCGCGCGCCACCAACGCGCGGTCGTCGCATGCGCGGGCGCGGCCGAACAAGAGTTCGCATTGCATCCAAGCCGCGCCCATCCTGGCGGAGATCAGGCGCGCAGCTCCGCAGACGCAGCGAGAGCCACTCTCGCACGTGCCCCCCCAGACTTCGACCGAGCCGCCGCGGGGCGGACGACCCAGATCCCAATAGGGGCCCCCGCCTGGGAAAATCTAGAGGGGCAGGGCTGGAGGGGCCCAATGTCTTTGAGGAGGATGCCCCGCGCGGAACGCATCCATGCGACCCCATGTCCACGGGACCGCGCCCTGGAGCCCAGGCCGCGCAGGTGTGGATATGCATATACGCCCGCCGCTCGCGACCGCAGCCGAGGCCGACCGAGGGCAAGGCCCCTTGCCGTCCTTCTCCAGCTTGGCGCAGTAGAAGCCTCCCCCGAGCTTCACCAGCGTGCCGGCCTTCTTCGCGGCTCCTGCCGCGGGCGACGACGACGGCCACGTCGGGCGGGCTCGAGCTGCAGTTCGCGCTGCGGCTTACTGCAGCTGCGGCTGCGGCTGCGGCTTGGGCTGCGGCTGGGGCTGCGGCTCGGGCTGCGGCTGCGGCCAGAAGGAAGAGGAGGAGGAGGAGGAGGAGGAGGAGAAGGAGGGAACGGCTTCCCGACAATTGGTGCAATGTGGGCAAAAGCCTCGGGCACTGGCAGTGCTGCTGCCAACTGTCGCTAACAGGGTCGCCACGTCATTCGCATCTGATGGATGGCCAGTGCATAAACTAAAGTCGATGCCTCTATTTGCCTCTTCAAGAGGCTCCTCCAGAGACAGGGAGAACATGTTGCCTTCCCCCAGCAGGAAGCTCTCTCTCTCTCTCTCTCCGAAACCCTGCGAGAATAATTCGCCGAACGCCGCAGGCACCTTGTGCGATGCCACTGAATCGAAGCACGACCTGGCGGTCAATGTTCAACTGTACGCCTTAGCGGAAGTATGCAGGATGTTGGGGTGGCAGGTGGGACCACGCCTTCTGCTCAGATACGATTTGCCCACTTGTATGAGACGATATGTGGTGCCAGCGCATTCTGTCGGAAGACGCGCATGGCTCGAAGAGGATGCCGTCACCAACTCCCGAAACAGAAGGAGGATGAGATTTGCACATACAAACCAGCGATACGTTTTTATTGTCAGCGGCAGCAGATACGGTCCGTCGCGTTGAAACGGCGCTGGGGTGCAGCACAGCTACGGTTGTGAGCTTTTGCTTAGCGTGTCGCAGCGGCAGCCCTGGCAACACGGATAGCGTGGCACTCCACTCCGCTTCGCGGGGCGGAAGGCTGGGAAAGGCTCGGGACGTTGATGCTCGAGGGCTGGGACGTGGTAAGCGTGTCGCGCAGAAGCGTGGTGGGCCAGAACCAGCGGAGCGACACTCTAAGCACATGTTCCTGACAGCAATTGCGCCCGATGCAAGAGGAGGCGGAGCGAGTGGGAGAGGGCGGCCGCAACGAGCATCAACGATGCGCGCGCACGTCCGGCTTGATCACGAAGCGGATCCGAGGACCAGCCCCTGGCACGCGCAGCACAGCGCCAAGTCCACGGAAGTCTGAGACGAGGACAGGACCAGGGTAAAATGAGACATGGATAGGTCGAGGAGCTCTGAGTCCTGGAACCTCGAAAGCATTCAACTATCGGGCGCCGCTCCAAGAGCGCTCCGAGCGCGGTTCCGAAACGCTCGAGAGAGCGACTTCTCCCTGGTCCTGGGCCTGGGCCCGCCCGAGGGATGTATGATGGCGCGCCGCCGGCCGTTCCAAAAAGCGCTCCACAGAGCGCTCCGAAGAGCGTTCCGAAACGCTGTGGAACGATTAAGCTCCCGATCCAGGCGGGGCCCGCCCGAAAATGCTCCCCGCCCGCGGCCAACTCTCACGAGACCGGCGCGCCGAGCCAGGGCTGGCCCCGGTCCCCGGGCAGACATCTGGAGCCCTCTCTGGGAAGAGCTCACGGGTCTGACGCACGATGACACAGCGACCTTCCGCCGAGGCGTACGCGGGCCGCCAGCGTGGCACACCACGTGGGCAAGAGGGCGCTTACGCGCGGCGTTACACAGGCGGTTTACGCGCGAACGTCTGCGAAGACTACCCCATTCTTCTGCGTCGCACACATGCGTCTTCGATAAGACGAGGAGTTTTCAGCGTTTGGATGCCCATCCCCCTCACTTTCGCTTCCGTGCCTCGCTTACCGATTTTCCTCTGGTGCACCCCATCGCTTGCTGACCGGCGCCGCCTGGCTGTCCTGGACCATTTGGCGACCGCGGACTTAGAAAAGTTTGGATGCCCATGGCTCCCCACATAGTGTTGAGACCGTCGGCGTCAACCTCGAACTTCTCGCAGGCGTCCTTTGCGTTGAGCGCTTTGCCCTCCTTCAGCACGTCGTCCCACTCGACACCTGAGCCGGCGCGCCCCCAGCGCGAGCCAGACGCGGCAACGATGATAAGTTCAAGGCAGGAGTCGAGGCGTGCCAGGCCCAAGCCTCCCCACGAGCGCCCTTCATGATCGCCGTCCCCGTCGTGGCAGGAACACAATTCTTAACAGGGCAGGTGCACCAGGTTGAATTACTTAGGAGTGTTGCTGGAGCTGGGTGGTAGCGCCATTTGGGGGCAGGAATCTCGCTGGACCTCAACATTGCGGACGAGGCTGAAACTCGCGCGTGCGCGACAAAGACACGCACGCGGCGGGCCCCTGCTCGATTAGGCCTGATCACATCCACAGATGGCGTCCAGTTCCTCCTCCTTCTCCTCATCCTCCTCATCGTCATCATCATTATCAGCATCATGCGCCTCATCCTCCTCATCACTATCCCTATGCTGCCAAGTCATCATCCTCGTCCACCTCCTCCTCATAATCCTGATCATCATTCCAAGTCACCCTGTTCCAAGGCTTCATTATTCTTATTTCGAGGCATGCCATGCCCCTCCTCCCCATCATCATCATCATCATCATCATCATCATCATCATCATCATCATCATCATCATCATCATCATCATCATCATCATCATCATCATCATCATCATCATCATCATCATCATCATCATCATCATCATCATCATCATCATCATCATCATCATAATCATCATCATATCATCATCATCAGCATCATCATCATGATCATCATCATAATCATCATCATCAGCATCATCATCATCATCATCAGCATCATCATCATCATCATCATCATCATCATCATCATCATCATCATCATCATCATCATCATCATCCAGCTCAACCTCCCCCTCCTTCTCCTCCTCCTCCTCATCATCATCATTCTCCTCCTCCTCCTCCTCTTCCTTCTCCTCCTCCTCCTCCTCCTCCTCCTGACCCTCCTCCTTATCCTCCTCCTCCTCCTCTTTCTCCTCCTCCTCCTCCTCCTCCTCATCCTCCTCCTCCCTCCCCTCTCTCCTCCCTCCCTCGTCGCTCCCTCGCTCCCTCGCTCCATCGCCCTCGCTTCCTTCCCTCCCCCTCCCTCCCTCCCTCCCTGCCCTCCCCCCTCCCGCCCGCCCCACCTCCTTCCCTGCCTCCTGCCCTCCCGCTGTCCCTCCCGCCCTCCCGCCCTCCCCCCCTCCCTCCCTCCTTCCCCCCTCCCCCCCCCTCATCATCCTCTCCTCCCTCCTCTCCTCCCCTTCTCCCTCCCTCCCCCCTCCCCCCTCCTTCCTCCTTCATCCTTCCTCCTTCCTCCTTCCTCATCCTCCTCGTCCTCCTTCTATAATTATTAGTGTGCTTAGTCATATGATTGGTGTTGTGATTAATAATATTTCTATTATTTATTCGTAGTATAAATAATATTCGTATTATCAGCGCTACTATTAGTATGACGAATATAAGTATGATCATTCGTACTATTATTAGTGGCAGTTTTATTGTTAGTATTGTTATTCCTATTGGTATTTGCATTGATAATATTACGATTCATCCTCCTCCTCGTCCTCCTCGTTTCTCCTCCTCCTGGCAAGACTACACGAGGGCCTGAGTCTGGCACAGATGCCTGGGCCCTTGAAAGATGGGGCAGGATGGCTCACTCTGGACTTGGCCTTGACTCGTCTGGCCAGGCATCCATATTCCCGTCCTCCTCCTCCTCCTCCTCCTCCCCCTCCTCCTCCTCTTCCTCCTCCTCCTCCTCCTTCTCCTCCTCCTCCTCCTCCTCCTCCTCCTCCTCCCCCTCCTCCTCCCCCTCCTCCAGCAAGACCGCAGGG